CCCCCCTCCTTCCCTCGTTCCAGATTCCCCCTTCCGATCTAATCTGTAACCACCTTCAATTTTTTTAAAGGTTGCTTTTTTTTTGTTTTTTTACTTTCGTAAATTTTTTGCGGCTACAAACGGAGTGGCTTTGTCTATCAGTGATGCACTTTGGCCTCGTCTAGGAAATGCTATTATTTGAGTAGAAAGCATCCATCACTTAACTCATTAGGCACAACTTCACGGCCCAGTGAAGCAAATTTAAGAGAGATGAAAAAAGATAAGACGGAGTAAGAAATGAGGAAAAGAGAAGGTTCCCAAGAGAACAGTGCGCACTTTTTTTCCGCCCATATGTTGCTCTGCAAAATCGAATTAAATTCAAGTATACGCTAGATTTAAAGCGCCAAATTAGTTTTTGCAAATAATGACTCGGCACACCAATTAACCAGAATGACCAAAGCAAGACTTTCCTTGGCAGCCATGTGGCCGGTACAGCTCATGCACAACAATAAAATCTCGATTTACATCTTTCTTTAACTGTAGAATTTCAATATCATTTCAAGCGCATGCGAAAATTTCCCAATTCTTTTTTGGTTTGAAAACATTGCCATTACTAGGCTAGATTATGACAGTTTATAAGTAATAGTAACAGTTAGTGATAGTTAGTGATGAAACTGTGAATAATTTAATAGTCTACAATGGTAAGAAAAAATAATGATAAAATTGGGATGTTTCGATTCATTAGGTATCAAGGTCCAGTTGAGTTTCATTTCATGCATTGAAGCATATGTTCAGGGATGTGTGTACAAGATGTAACAAGGAACAAAAACCCGAGGAATATTCCATCCCACTGGTATTTTTGCTTATCAGGAATGTTAAATTGCAAACATTCTTGGGACAAGAATGCAGATCACAGGAAGTCCTGTGTCCTTCCCTCCCCCCGCCCCCCCAAAGGCCTTTTTGCTTGGTGCATAGCATTGTTAGGTGCGTAGACTATTACAGCTCTACCAGTGTCCTATTTCTTGAGCATAAACATAGTACCGAGCCAGTTTGCCATGTTTTTCCATAACACACCTGCGTCAACAGATGCTGTGATACTTTACCGAAGGGTCCCTCGCCTTAGGAGTCAATGCCCACATGCAAATCGTCAGAGTTGCAAAAAGTGGGGCAAAGTATTTGTGACTAGAAACTCAATGCCAGAAAAAACTATACCTCAGCTATCCATCTCCGCTGTAAATCGGTTGAGACTATCAAGGCTGTTAAAACTCGAACTGCCTTCAACCTGTTACTTACAAAAACGCCGACAAACAACGAATAGCAAAAATTTTTAAAATTTTATTCAACAGTTGTATTTAAACAATCCGAAATTTACTGAAAACAAATATTGCTTATGTGAAAAAGGGGTGGTAACAAAAACTACAAATCCTCGCTGTAAATTCTCATCCTCTTTCGGCTAATTTTCAGCAAATGCACCATGTATTATGAACGGAGCTCTTTCGAAAAGGGTATTTACTAGGAAGGAACTGAACTTGTCATCTTTGGATCCTTTAGATTGCGAACCACTGCACTACCGGCTCATGTGTTCTACGCATAGCATTTGGGATATACAGAAGCCATTCGCACATACAAACTTTATTTCGCCATACACTACTTTCACAAACTACGTACATTTTACCATTTTTTTGTGCAATTACGTACATTTTCCACTTTCTTGTGCAATTCTTGCGAATATCTACAAAAATTTCGGAAAATTCTATAGCATTTTCAACGCCTTTTCGTGTTCTTTATTCAGTAGTTTATTAATTCTTTTAACGTATCGGTCAAAAAATAATCAAAAAATAACGGCACTCAACAACAAAAAAACTGTAAACAATGTATCAACAAATGTTGTACACCTTCGGCTTGTTAATATATCGGAAACTCCGTTTACCCCACGTACCACGTGAAAATTTATGCCGCAGGCGCCTCCGAAGTGGTTTGCCAATCTGAAAACACAAAATGGCGAATTGATAATTGACAGACGTATTCAAGGAAACATGGAAAACGAAAAATTATAAACTCCACATCGGAACCAGCATCGAATGCATCGGATTTTATACGAGAATTTCAGCGATTTTACTCTCAATTATATAAGAATTTTAGTGATTTTTCCTTCAATCACATAAGAATTTTAGCGATTTTACTCTCAATCATATAAGAATTTCAACGATTTTACTCTCAATTACATAATAATTTCAGCGATTTTACCCTCAACCATTAAGTGTTTCAGCGATTTTACTCTCATTTATATAAGAATTTCAGCGATTTTACTCTCAACCATGCAAGAATTTCAACGATTTTACCCTTAATCATATAAGGATTTCAGCGATTTTACTCTCAGTCATATAAGAATTTCAGCGATTTTACTCTCAATCATATAAGAAT